TTTTTAAAGGACTTTGAAATTTTAAAGATATGATTAATTAAAAAAAATATTTAAAAAACCAGTGCAAATGAAAGAGAAAGTTTCGTAGAACGAATAGGTATTGAAAATTCGCTTTTAATTAATAATATTTTTTTAAACTAATAAAATTAGGAGAATAAACTTCAAGGATGTGGTCGTGTGATTATTAGTCCTTAACATATATCTACATACCTAATTTAAAAGAAAAAAAAAAACAAGTAAAGAAGTATAAGTTCGGGCGCAATCGAGCTTTATATACCCGGCGCAGTTATCAAATATCGTCGTTATAATTTTATAATAACGGGTATAATTTTAGTCCGATTTGAATAATTTTCACAAGTTGCTTTTCCGTACCAAGGTTATTAAGTGCAACGAGTTTGGTAGAAATTGATAAATCGGTTACCGAGACACACATATGTGGTCACAAGCGGGCGGCGCCATGCCCATCAACCAAAACTTTATAATATTCTAATTTTTTGATAAATTGTTATTGTGAACATCGATTTTCAGTGAATTAGTTCCAGTGGTTACTGAGTTATCGGAGTTTTCGTATTACCGTGAATTACCGTTATACGGCAGGTGGGCGTGGTTATTGCCCGGTTTCAAAGATGTTCAACAGGTTTCTTAGCTAGACCCTACCCAAGCTTAGTACCGAGTTTGGTAAGGATTAGTGACGTGGCTAATTATATACGGCATTTCATCATAAGTGGGCGGGATCACGCCCATTTTTCAAAAATTTCTTAATAATAGTATTATTTTTTACCACAATTTTTCTCTACATACAAATTTTCAACAATTTGCATATAATATTTACTGAAATATCGCAGTTTTTGCATTTTTCGAAAATACTGTTACATGGGAAGTGGGCGTGGTTTCAGTCCGATTTCGCCCATTTTCAATACCAACCTATCTTGGAGGAGGGCAACTTACGTACCACATTTCGTTGAGATGTCTAAATTTTAGCTCGAGTTATCGTGTACACGGACAGAAAAACGGACGGACGGACAGACATGGCCTTATCGACTTCTCTTTTCATTCTCATCATTTATGTTAACATTTGTCCATATCTATTTCGGTTCGTTTTGGCTGTTACAAACAACCGTTATGCGAACAAAGTTAATATACCCTTGTGCACAAGTGCGCTCAGGTATAAAACCACTTAAAAGGAAAAACACATTTTTTTCCAAAAAAAAAAAATAAGAAATTACTAACCGATTTTTAAGAATTTGGCATAATTGTAAAGGCGATTAAGTCCTCTTTCTTCTGGTATGCATATTCGTATATTTCGTATATAAAAATTAAGAAAGAAACACTTTATAGCAAAAAATACCCTTTTTTACAAAAAAAAAAAAATATTTTAAACAAAAAAATTACAAACCGATTTCTAAATAAATTGGTATCGTTATAAAGTCTACAAGAAAACTTATACTTTCTTAAACCCAAAAATTTCTTATATTTACACAAAAAAAAATTTAAAAACTTTTTTTTCTATTCTGCAGAATTTTTCCTTTTATTTGATACCCATATTGTTATTCTACAATGCACCGAATGTTTTGATTAATTTTTTTATTCAATCATATTTTAGAAATTTCAAAGTCCTTTAAAAAAAATCCTGACGTCATAGAGAAAAAATAAGAACGCAGTTTTACTATATTAGGCCACCAGTTTTGTGAATTTGAAAGAAACAATTTGAGCATAAAAGCGGGGAGGCCGCTTAATGTTGATAACTTTGTGGATATCATGAGAGTGTCAATTGAAAATTGGTCCGTTGTTTGTCATACAGCTATATACATATACTAAGAAAATTTCGTCAAGCGGAACGATTCCGCAGATATTCAGCGAAGTAATACCTAACAGGGTCCTACACTTCACGGCTTTCAAAGCTTTGTGCCACCTCTAGAGGAAAAAAATTTATAGCGTACCCAGTTTTAAAAGGGTTATGTTTTAATTTAAACTCTATACATCCTAACGAAGGCAACATAATAGAAACGATTAATTGCAATGTTTACACACAAAAAAATCCGACCTGTGGCATTTTACCTCAATTTCTAAAGTCAAGTTTTCCGCTGAATTCGCGTATGAAGTCAATTGAATGTGTGCACTTATTAAGATCTCCAAAAAACGAATCTTGGCTATATCACAAAAACTGTTAAACTTTTTCATATTTTGCCACAGGTCGGATTGCTTGTCGACTAGTGTTATTATTCTAGAACAGAGGCGGCCAAAACTCACACAATATATTTCAATTTTGCTAAACGATGAGAGAATGAAGAGAATAAGTTGCTCACGCGTCTGATGCAAACAGTGTTGTCAACGATTTGGAGTTGCAAATTATAAGAAAAAGGGATTTTTTTTACTATGTAAATATTGTGAGAGGTAGAGATTATATTAAAGAATTAACTTTTTATAATTAAAACTAAAATTAAAGTAAATAATTGAATTAATTTGTATTAATCTTCTTATTTTGAACTAAAAAAAAAAGATTTTTTAGCATTATTTTAAATTCATCTTTTTATTTATGTGCATATGTAGGTAATAATTTATTAATTCAATATTTGGTAATAAGGAGAAATGGCGCTATACACGCGCTTAACGAAAAAGTTTGTCACCCGTGCGCTTTCTTCATGAACCACGACACACCAAACATTGTGCCCTACCTTCCATACTAAACACTTTTACCATGTCTTGCAGCGACTTGATGGCTTGAAAGTTTTTCGCATCGATTGAGCACGATCGCAGCAAAACCATAATCGTTGGCATCACTGATTTATAGAGTATACGCATGTATGTGTGAAATCAGCGCAGTTTTTCTCGTGTGAAAGCAGAAGAGAAAAATTTGACACACGTGCCTATGAAATGGCCACCCTTGTTCTAGAAACTTGCACAAAGAACAGCTAACAATTACAATATTCTAAGAGTTAATCAAATGGGTTGAATTCAAGCGCGATTATGACTGCAAAAAATGATTAAATTTCATATACATAAGTAAGAAGGAAATTAAAAATGGGCGTGTGTATTTTGATAGTGGAGTATAAGAAAGATTTTTTTTAGTTTAATAAAATTTTGTAAGCAACTTCTAAAAACTTTACCGCCATTTCAAGTTTATTGCTTCGTATTTAAGAATTGATTAAATCCCCCCCCCTACTCACTTGTGTTTTGCTCATAATGGCCATTTTGTTGATTCATTTTCGCCGGTGAGTCGGTGTTCAATTGCGACGCAGTCACCGAACGTGTTTGCAACGTATTCGGTTTGGAATTCAACGCTGAGCCGCCGGCATTTACAGCGCCACTATTCGGCTCATCCAACAACTGTCGTAATCGCTGTAGCTGTGCTTCCAGTTGACGATTGTGATCCTCTAGTATTTGCATGCGTGCCTCTAGGCGTCCCTTATGCTGGCGCAGCAATTTCGCTTCAGCAATCATATCCTGAAAGCAAAACAAAAAAAAAGAAAGTGTAAAGTAATGCACTTAGCACAAGCAACTGGTGATTTAATTGAAATTGACTGCCCTACTCTTACCTGTCCATGTTCACCTTGACCGCCGCCGGCATTTGCACCTGTCGCTAATCCACCCATAACAGATGTTGAATGTTGCATACCACCATCCGCATCAGGTGTGGTACTATTCTGTTTGGTGCATAGCTGCTGATATTCTGCTTGCAAATTTGCATTCTCCTCTTCCAGGTCGCGTATAATCGCTTCAAGCTCTTCGCGTTGCTCGGCATCCATGGCTGCCATTACTTGAACGGGAGATTTGGGTCCGCTGCCGTTGTTGGTTGGCAACGCTTGGCAATATTGGGCGATTAGCTGATGTTCGTCATCACTGTCGGGTGTGGAATTGGAACCGGTACAGTACTCGACCTGAGCCAGGCGGGAAGCATACATCTCCAAGCGCGAGTGCATGTCATTCTGCAAGGTGTGTGTAGTGTGCTGCGGACTGGGAGCGGGGCTCTCCAAAGCGTCACCTAGTTGAGGATCGACGTTTATTAATTAGTAATTTTATTATTGTTTTGTATGAGTAATTGTAGCTTACCCTCAAGCACACTTTGCACCGGCAAGTAGCCGACACGTGGATGCTTTTTGAAATACTTGCGACTCTTAAATTTGTTTTTCAGTGCTCTTGTAAAGTCACGGACATCTTCTGTTGAGGTGGTCTGCAAGGAGAAGAAAATTATTTAAAGAAATGCTGTCGATTTTATTTAAAGTGGAGTTAAACAATTTTTTTAATGCAGGACCTACTAAGGGCCTTTTGGGATACTGCATGTCGTTTGTGCTTAGTCCTATCCCCTGAACCCCGCACGTGATAGGATACACTTGATCAGGTTTCTAATATTAATAGACCCGATGCCAACTAAGTAGAGCAGTTCCTCGAAGAGGTATCAGCTAACCCTTGAGCTGGAGGTGCTCCAGAAGCTACATAGGAGATGTAAAATAACTTCATCGTCCTCCACATGCTGACAGAAGATCCCACACCGATGCATTAAAGTCATTTAAACTGTGACTCATAAGGACTGCCTTGCTTAAGACATTTCCGGTTTTTTCCGGCCTAGTAGAGGGTCTATACATTGAGGACTTAATCTTGACCACAGGTTGATAGATTCTGCACGGCTTCGTTCATCCAAATTTTCAGAAATGTCTCAATAACTAGAACTCTCCAGGTATTAATGGGAACATCTGGTATATCACTGGCGTTAGTAGCAGGAAGAGTAGGCGGTGACGAGTGTGCTCGTTGATCTCAATATCACATCACCCTCGAACCGAAACAATGTGATTTTGAAATGATTCAGCTATCTTATTTAGAGAAAGGAAGCATTCCACGACAATACCGAATATACCATAATACCAGTCACGGTTTTAACTGGGCGGAGATGAATGAGCCATCTATTTCGACGGGATTTCAAGCCGTCTATTAAAGTTACCGGCTGTCGGCTTCAGAGAACTTAAAGTAGATATACATATCTATCTTAATTATTGTTCTAAAACGCGGTAATAATACAGCACCTTCCTAGGTTCAGTTCCAATATGACTCTTTAAACGCATGGTATCCTAAATCTACCGCAATAGTAGAAGGCGTGTCGCGCCGTTGGCGGTCATCAGAGGTGCGTTCAGCATATTAAGCCTTTTGATAAATATAGTTACATTAAAGCATGGAAGGGGATTCTCATGCATTGTCATGCCTGTTTATACTAGTAAAAAACTTGTGAGACTTATGCAAGACCCCATGCTAAAACTCAGCCCGATATTCATATTTGGAAGGTTAACACCCTATCAGAAAGTTTAGTCAGGGATTTTTTGCCACTCCATACGTATATCTATCAAATTTTGTTTACTTTGGGTCTTGGAAAAATTTCGTACGGTAGTTGTTTCCCTTTCTTTCGGCTTAAGTTAACACGAGTTCTGCGATCGGCAATTAACTGGGTGAGGTGGTTTTCATGTTTGCTCACATACCATTTTACTGTATACCCTGCCAATGCCTCAGCTGCAGGTACCTCGAACAAACGTAGGCGCGTCTTCGAGTCGATAAGCACTCTGGGAAGTTATTTGATTATAGCCTATAATTACTACTTAGTACTCCCGTCTTTTAAATAGCGAGCTTCAGTTTTGCTTCCATAAGCCTATTTCTAACATTACGTTATTGACTACCAGGATTTTTAATCGTTAGCTTACAGTCCGGTTTACTGGGCAGAACTCACGGGGCCAATCACGGGACCACGGGGCCAATCAGAACTTGTCCTACAGACGCCCTCAATGTTATTACAACCTATTTCCTACAGACCTTCACACAATGCTCAGAGAAATGGGTATATTGATAGAAAGAACGAAAGGGGATAGTACAATAATTTCTCGATTTCCACCTAAGGTGAACCTGACTACCGATGACATACGACCTGAAGTAGGAGTTCCAGACACACTTTGGGGTCATTCCTCCGTCGGAAGCCGACTGCGATGGGGAAATTGATACCTCTGCCTGGTTACTTCATCTGTACACCGAGGACTACAAAATGGAACGCGAAGTTGAAGCAGGCATTTACTCGGAATCTGCACGATTTTGTAAGTGTTTTATAGGCAGAAGTATTCGCTATAGCTGAAAGCCGCCGTCCCTTAGTACGTAGTGGCTTACGTCCTCGCGAATGCGTAGCCATTTTCTCAGATACCCAGGCGGCCAACCGGACGAAACTAATGAAGGAGTGTATGACACTCTTGTAAAATCAGTAAGTGACCAGCCCGATCTAGATTTAGTTTGGGTCTCCAATCATCGCAACATTCTCGGAAACGAAGCTGTAGACGAGGCAGCAAGAGATGTTTCCACATTGGTATCGTTCGAGGATCGGATCTCACTCACAATCGGGACCTTATCTACAGACATACTTCTCTACAATCTTCACAAATCGGATCAAAGGTGGCGCACGGCGGCAAGCTGCCGTATATCCAAACTCATGTGGCCCGTGTACAACCCTAAGAGAACGCAAAACTCATTAAGAAGACCCAGACCTAACGTTAAAATGATGAAATAACCTAAAGCGGTTCAAAAGGGGTTTTAAAGATCAATTTTAAGAAAGCCAAAACTGGTTGTTTGAAAGTCTATTTGTTAATCGAGAAATTTTGTGTATATCACAGCCCCCTGAAAAAAAAGTGTCATGTACTTTTGAAGCAATACTTTAGCCCCATGTGCTTTGGTGCTCTGAACATGTGGCTTTTTACAGCTGTCCTGTGGCCACACAAAAAAAAAAAGTATTAGTGTTCGGGGATCTTTTCCCTATATATTTTGATACGCTGAGCACGAATCTGAAGTCCATTTTGCTTCATCACACCAGGAACTTTTCCTAATCTCAAAAAACGTGCCATTGATTTTGAGGTTAGGAAAAAATCCCTGACATGAAGGAGCAAAACAGACTTCAGATTCGTCTTCAGGGCACAAAAACACATGGAGGTAAGGTATTCTTGTCAAAAGTACATGACACTTTTTTGTGTGTTTGTGGAAGACATAGAAAGGGACCTACGTACCTGCTGATGACTGATTCGGCAGTTAACCCGGCTTTAGGAGATCCCTGCTTTTATCTCTCTTTTAATCTTTTTTCGCCCTTGCGCGTTAAAGGTGCAAAATACCTTAAGCAGGACCGACGTTCGATTCTTGGTCCAACCAACATAAAAAATAATAAAAATCGGGTTTTCTAATAGCGGTCGTAACTCGGCAGGCAATGGTGTTTTTCTGCCATAAAAAAGCTTCTGGGAATACCATTCCCATTCGAAGGCGGCTCAAAAGGGTAGATTCCTACATTTGTGTGAAAAGAGGAAGAAGTTTGGCTAAACGCTCTATTTCGTCTTCATTTCCTCTCTCATTTTAATTATTATCTTAGTATTTATCACTCCTTGTCTCCGTAAGCCTTCTTTTAATCTCCTATTTTTCCACCTATTGCACTGAACCCGTTTGAAATCCTAATCCCATCTAATCTAAATGTTTTCTTACCCAGTTACATTTCCCCTTCCCTTCTTTCAGCTCAGCATAATTGTTACTCTTCTAACTTTTGATTGCCTTTAACTGTCCCCAATTAAATTTATTTTGTTTACTTTTTACCATTCACTTTTCTAGACTTTTTACTTACCGTTGTGCAGTATTCGTGCATTGGATGACTCAGTTTGTGATTTTTGGCATTGCGTCCAAAGAAGAAACACTTTTGGCACATATCGAAATTGAAGCACTTGAGGCAGCGATAACGGAATCCAATTATCGGATACTCTTTGCAAATGTTACACTTTGCCTGTTGTTGCCAATTTTCAGCACCAGCCATGTTGCCACCAATTTGCCATTGAAGTGATGTTGCCATTTGTGCAGCGGAAAACAGTTGTTAAGGTGATTGTTTGGTGAAGTGGTTGCGACGAAAAGCGGAATGTGGAGTTGTCGTCATCGTCGTTGGTGGCGGCGGCGGCGAGGATGCAGCGAAGAAAGGTGTACCGAGAAATGCAAATATTGGATTTAGTACTTGCGGTAAAGTCTTACATACACACACACACAGAAATGCACGCATACACATACATATAAATGTCTAAAGTGTGAAATGCATTGGAGGAAAAGTTGGTTGTACGAGAGGTAAGGAGGGCAGTGTTAAAATGTATGGAATATGGTTGCTGGTTAGTTGGTTGGTAACAGTTGGTGGGTGGAAATTGCGGTGAATTGTGCAATAATTGCCGTTAAGTGGGTGAAAATTGCGCGCCATGCTGGCTATTATGGCAACACAATGAACACTTTGATTCGCTGATACATATTCATGTTGATGAGGATAGTACATACATATGTATAAGCGATTGTGCAGGATGACTTCAAGTGAGGTGAGCGAGGAAAGGGAGAAGGAGCCGGATATGAGGGCTAGTTGAGGGTTGCGGTTTAAGAGCTGTATAGTGGCACGCCATCAATTACAGCCGGTCGATGGTTGGTTGTTTGCTTGCTTGCTGCTTGCATGCGGTAGACGCAACGCACTTACCTGATGTTTGGCCGTTTCGGCAGCTGCCAGACGATGTAGGACCGGCATCCATACTAAGCTTTGCGGCTCATGTTGCAACCAGCCGAGGAAGTGTGATTGTTCAATGGCAATTTCCTGATTGGCATCGATAGCTGTGTGCGTGTGATTAACAATGTTGAAGAGATAAAAAAGAGAAGCGTGAAAGAAAAAACATTTAAATTGTTTGCTTGAAGTTGAGTGGCTTGAAAATTGCGCTAAATTTGGTCAAAGTGTAATTGATTAACGCTTAATTGATTAGTGTTTTTATGGGAAAATTTTCAAATCACCAGCTCGTTGGTAAGTGAGTAATTATAGTAAAAAAAAATAAACAAAGTTTACCTTCTTGTGAGATGCCTGCGCGTTCGAGACAAGAGCGCACCGAAGGCTCTATGTTGGAACCGCCAAAAGCGGCAACTTCGCCTAACTGGCGTGGCACCTACGAAATGAATTTGTTTTGTTAAAGATAATTTGGAACAAAAAAGGTTTTGCAAACATACCTGTATGCAATCGTGCAGCAGCAAACCCAATTTTCTTTGATCAACTCTGCGTTCAGGATCGGCAACTAAGCGAAACAGATAACGATACTTCTCCTCGAGGTGGCCCTTGCAAAGCAAAATGAGGCCAACCTGTAAGCGAAAATAGTAAAAAAAAACAAATTAAAGCAATAAAAAGAAAGATATATGCACCAGAAAAAAATTTTTTTTTTTTCTAAACCCAACTCACCTTAAAGCTCAGCACTCGTATCTGTCCGGTACGTTGCGAATCGTACACATTCAATATCCAGTTTATAGCCAAATCCAACATTAATGTCAAATCAATTTTATCGATTGTCACATAGAGCGAATGCAAGACGGTTGTCATGTCGGGTATGTCAATGAGTTTGTCGTTTTGTGCGCGTAGCGAATGACGATCGAACGATTCGATGGCAGTGGACATTGGTATGCGATCGAGAGCTGTTTGTATGTATGTACGGTTGTGGTGGTGTTGTTTGTTTGTAAACAAAGTTATAAAATTTCAAAAATTATTGCGTGAATTCTTTTTAGCGACGGCAGCACAACGCTGGTGGTCACGTGCCGTAAATTTATTTATTTAATTTGTACATAAATAAAACTAGTTTTTTGTTTGTTTTTATTTTTACTCACCTAAACGCTTTTGCACAGCGCGCAATTTCATCGCAGTACGATAGGCTGAGAAGCGTATTTCATTAAGATCGGCTAAGCTCTTCATTAGTTCTATCATTTCTGGATGATCCCAGTGGGTGGTTTCGCGTTCGTGACTAGTAAAGTATAGTATAATAAAGATAGTGAATTTAAGGTAATAATATTAATTAGTCACAAATATCATTTAGAAGATATATATTTAATTGCTATTGATATCTAAATTGCTAAAAAGATGTACTACTCTGTAATTAATATACATAAATCAGGGACCGAAAATGGCCATTAAATATCAAGATTTTTAAATATAGATAATCGTACAATCGTTGTTTCTCGATCTATATTTCTGCGGTCATGATAAATAATTGCATTTAAATTCTTATTTTTTTCGTCAAATTTAATCGTTACTTTGTGATTTTTATTATTTTCGATTGGATTGTTATTTTGCTAACATTTTCAACCGTTATGCACACCATTAGGAACACTTTAAATATTTTATGATCCAAAAAATTTAGTTTGCAAACAACGGTAATAGCACGATCGAAAAAATAACCACACAAAATTTATCGAAAAAATAAAAATCCAAAATAACGATTATTCTTTCTATTAGATCGGAACAATTCAATATTCATTTGAACGGTTAAATTGTGATTTTTATTATAAAGCTCATAGCCGCTATAATCTCCGGATTAATAAAACAAAAGTTTTCGAGGATTTCTCGCGTGACTGAAATGAACTCTTCTTCCTAATATCCGTAACGTTAACGTTATTTTTTATGTTTGCCTTCTTCTTCTTGGCCTTATTTCCAATCTTAACCCTAATCTTAATTTGTATGTTAATATTAATCCTAGTTTTAATCTTCAGCTTAATTTTAATATTAAAATTATTTTTAATCCGAATTCTGATATTAGTCTTTATCTTGTTCTTAATCTTTATTTGTCCTTAACCTTACTCTTAATCTTCATCCTTAATCTGAATCTTTATCTTAATAGTAATCTACATAATCCGAGCCGAGCGCAAAGAAGCTTTGCTTAAAAATAATTTAATGTATCGAAAACCGAGTAGATGTATTTCCTATTTTCTACTTGTTTTTCGTTTACTCACTCAATGTAGTAAGGCACATTGGCTGCTGTCGTTGCTCGTTCCCAAGGCGGCTTAACGCTCTGTCCCAGATTGGGTAATGGCCCGATTGTGCCACTATTCGATGTTGTGCGGCCATCTTCACCGTTTTCCAAAGCCTGATTTGCGCCAGCATTGCAAAGTACCTTTTGACGTTCGTCCATTGCAATTTGGAGTAGTTTCATTCTGGAAGAGGACAAAAATATTGAAATGTTAAATGGAAATGGTTTCCGAATTTGCAGTTTCAATTTAGCCTCAGCCTTTATACAGTGCAAGAAAATCTGTAACTTAAACTTCAATAAAATTCAATTCGATAAACCAATTCATGTGAGCAGCTCTTTAATTAAATACCCCGAGAACATTTATATTCGCCAGTAGTGAACCAAGCTTTTCGATTCCCGGTCAGAGCAACGTAAAAACAGGGGTTTTTTTTCCGAAGAGTCGTCCCAACTCGATAGACAATACCAAACTTTCAAGCTTATTTCTGACAAGAAAAATCTCATCAAAACCATTTGGCGTTCGGAGGTGTCATATGTAAAACTGTGGATCCATCCACTGGGTGATATTTAAAGTGGGCCAATCCCACTTATTCGATTTAGGAGTCCACTAAAGAAAGCAGCTTCTATTCAAACGGCTTGCTATATAAACATCTATCCTAAAACTTTAACCCAGGCTGGTTAACGCTGGGTTTGGAACCCGCTAAGTAAAGCCCCTTGCAATTGATTTGGGGGTATGCACACAGAATGTATGTACTCTTTATGGACAAGGTGCCGGTTTATTGATGTACTCCGCAAGACTAAGGCTGTAACCATCGCCATCGAAGAAACTCCATGGATCGGGAAAGGCAAGAAACACGTGGGGACTTGCGACATCTTCAATATAAGCAGTGTAATAATGCTATGTAAAGGACGCCAAATTCGGTGTCGTATTTTTTTAGGAGAGGCTTCGTCGATGACCGCTATCGTTTCTCGCTACAATCCGCCTCAAAACGTGGTTTTACAATATCTCGTTCATTTGCGTGCACACTCTGGCGGAAGAGAAGGACAAGTCGGCCGAAAATCTGCTCTAAGAGCTCACTAACTAGCGCTGCCCCAGTAACCACATTAATATGAAGAAGAAATGAGGAATGTCACGCCGAGGAAGAGAAAAAATATGTCACCTATAGGGCCATGCAGCGATCAGTCGCAATGCGACCTATGTGGAAATAAACTTCGTAGTAAAAAGAGAGAGGCCGAAGTACGTGAGTTCGAAAATATTTCTTGCTGGTTGAAAGAAAAACACTCAAAAATTTTATCAAAAAAGTTAGGTGTTTAAAGAAGAAAATTATTATTAAATATTTTTTAATGTAATTAAATTGTTCGAAGTTTATTTTATTTTTTTTCCAATAAGATAGGTTTTTCTTTTGTTAATTTCGTTTTTTTAGTTTTTAGATTTATTGTTTAAAACGAAAATTAGTTTTTTTCACTTAACTTTTAAGACCTTTTTTTATTAAATTTTTTGTCTTTTTCAACTCAATTTTCTTTTAAATTAAAAATTTTGTTTTAGAAATATATAAAATTTTTTATTTGGTTTAATTTTTAAGTGCAATCGTTTAAGATTGTATTGTTAAAAAAAAAAAAAATTAAATTTAAAAAAATATTTTTTTTTGCTTTATTATCATTTTGTTTTTTTTTTCTTTTCTACTTAATTTAATTTTCTTTTGTTTAATATTTTTTGTTGTTTAAAAAGAAATATGCACGTATATGTTTTCATTACTTTAATTGAATTTTTTGTCTGTCAATTAGTATTTCGAGAGGCAGTAAAGAGCTTTCAATATAGTTACCCGAATTGACAATTGTCTTGCGAAAGCCTTTTTTCTTTCGAAAGACTGTGGTGACTTGAAAGCTAATATACATAACAACATATATAGTTTCGCTATGTACAATGTACATCAATATACGTATTTTGAGGCCCCATATTTCAGCACAACCAGCTTACTAGTGCACGGGGAACGACTGAGGCAACATAGCCACCTAATTCAGGTAGCTAATATCACATAAAACGAGGCTCGATAGGTGGTTTATAACTTGTCAATGCATACATTCAGGCTGGATGGATGCTTTGAAGAGCAATGGAGTTACATAAGAGTTTGAGTGATATGGATTAAAGAGCAGAATGATTGAGGATATGTAAGCACAAGCATGGTAGTTATTCATGTATGTATGTAAGTATAAATTTGTATCGAACTCAAATTTTCCGCCCACCTTGTATTCAAATCTTCTAGCCTTGATAGGCATACAGCGGGCACCAAAACTTGATTGGCGGTAAAGAATGCCTGCTGTTCGTTGCAATCGTCCAACAGTGCACCGGCGGTGGTCATTTTGTCGCGCAAACGTTGCAAATGTTGCATTTGCTCTGTGGCTTCCTGTGCGGAGGCAGGTGGTTGCCATGATGTTGTTGTTGCTTCAGCGGAGGCGACACGCGAAGTCAAATCCTCAAGCGTTTTTTGGAATTGGCGCATTTTCTGTAAAGAAAAAAGGAAACAGTTGCATAATGAAAATGTGGTCGTTATATTTAAATGAGTTCAAAATATGTACATATAAGCACTAAGTACTGTTAAATATATGGTGATTTCATAAAACTTGCTTTTTTACTTAATTTCACTGCTGCTAACGGAGTAAGTACTTACATATGTACATATGCACATTAGGGTGGTCCAGAAAAAAAGTATTTGAGAGAAGTGAAGTTCGAATTTTAACGCCTCACCCTTTGGGATTGTTCTAAAGGGAAAAAATATACCCCTTTTTTAAATAAAAAAAATATTTAGGTGCCTCAAAGCGCTCAATGTTTCCTTTGGCGAAAAACTATTTTTCGTACAAAGTCAATGTTTTTCAACCGACAAACTCTGCTTCACTTCAGGAGAATTCAAGGAATTATACCCTTTTGTTTATTTATCCATTTTTTTAAAACTAACGACTTTTAAATTTTTTTTAAATATAAAATATTTTTTTTCGATATAGAACAATCCCAGGAAGTGATTGCATTGAAATTCCGACTTTCCTTTTTTTACCACCCTAATGTACACATATGCAAATTTATTGCAATTTCTCTGGCAATTTTAATAGTCAATTTAATGTAATAATTTCCTTTTTAAGTACTCTTCGAGAACTCTTTCTGCCTTACGAGTTGCTTTTATCTTTAATTGGCGCATTTTAATTACATGGCAGGGTTGAAATTTTAATTCCTTTTTTATACACTTTAATACTTTATTTATTTTCCAACTGTCAAATTGAAAAAAATTGAAATATGTATGAAATACCTCCGTGTACGCACACATATGCAGCGTTTCCTTTTACAGGCTTAACATATAAAATTAAGAAAGAAGTTCAGCGTAAAAGTGTTTGTTAACAGAGCCGTTTAAATTCCTTTCATTTTCCTTTTTAATTACGTTCTGTGACTACTATACATACATAACTACTTCTGTTGGAAAAAACTTTTGAATGACTGCATCATTTAATGAATGACTTAAGTAAGTTTGAAGCAATTTTAAAGATATTATAGCATTCAATATATTAGTATTTTGCAAGGTTAGGTTTGCTATGGTTTGTTTTGGCTTTTCTAAAAGATCAGAGCGACATGCTTTGGTCAGTTTATCCTAATGCAATGCGAAATGAGTGAGCTTTTATTTCACTCCTTTCGATTTCACAAAGCAAGCAAGAGACTGAAGGAAGTGTTTAACTATTAAATATTTTAAATCGTGCCTTAGTAAGGGACGAAGAAAGTACTTGAAATTCTCCATTTTTCATTGTCCCTGCAACTACGCCAAATGTTGTTTATGGAATAACCCATGGCTTTGCCGTGTTTAGTCATTAAGCAGGGTCTAGTTACAATGGCTAAACTACGAGGGCAATTTGGAAAGTCAGTGATGTTTTGAATTTCCAGCGGATTGTCTTTAAATGCAATGCTGTTCTCGTCAACTGACATCGATTAATAGACTACTGTAAAATTTTGAACAAGCTGCGCCATTTGGTTTGTGTTTGACAGCCATTGAAAGCAAACAGCCTCGTAACTTTGAACGAAAATGGAAAACAATGAATTTCGTGTGCTGATTAAGCTTTTTTTTTTTGTGTAAAAATCCATTACCGACACCAAGGCTTAATAAATACTATGGACTATGGTAAATACTACCATCGTCGGCCGCTGTGGTGTAGTGGTAAGCAGTGCGCGCTTTCACTCCGCAACGCCTGGGTTCAAACCCTGGTCAAAGCAACATCGCAAAAAATATAGAAAAAAGGTTTTTTCTTAACAGCGGTCGTCCCTCGGCAGGCAATGGCAAACCTCCGAGTGTATTTCTGCCATGAAAAACCGCTTCTCATAAAAATACAATCGCCGTTCGGAGTCGGCGTAAAACTGTAGGTCCCTCCGCTTTGTGTGACAACATCAAGGCGCACACCACAAATCGGAGGAGAAGCTCGGCCAAACACTATCATATGTGTAAGCGCCAATCTATTATTATTAATAATTCTACACCATCAATTTCAATGGCTAAAAAGTGGTTTACTGAGTTTCTTTGTGTTCGTACCAGCACAAATGGCCGCGAACTTTAAGGTCACCCAAAATCCAGGGAACCATATTAGACGATCGGAGAATGAAAGTGTGTGTAGTGGCTAAACTTGTAAGCATCTTAACTGAGTGGGCACATTACATTTTACATGAATATTTGAATACGAAAAAGTTCTCCGCGTAATGGGTGCCAGGCTTCCTCACACTCGACTATAAGCGCAACTATGTGGCCACTTTAAAGGAGTGTTTGGAAATGTTTAGCCGCAATCCGAAAGTGATTTTGCACCATTTAGTAACCATTGAAGAAAAATGGGTCCATAAAAACACATCAGAGACCAAGGGATAATCAGGAAGTGCACCAAGGAAGGCGAAAGTGGGTATGTCGCCAATAAGGCCATGGCCACAGTTGCACGCGTTGTCATTAACATCGATTATCTTGAAAAGGGCAGAACGGCGAATATTACCCATAGATATTTGATGGATTTGATATTGATTTGAAGCAAAAACGACCGCTTTTAGCCAAGAAAAGATTGCTGTTCCGACAAGACCATGCACAGGTGCCCATGTGTGTAGTCGCTCTAGAAAAAATCCATCAATTGGGCTACGAACTCCTAATCCATCCAACATATTCAGGAGATTTAGCCACCAGCGAATATTTCTTGTTTCTGTAATCCAAAAAATTGCTGGCTGGTAAGAGACATTTGGGTTGAATTAAGAGGTCGTCACTGAAACAAACGCTTATTTTGATGACCTTAAAAACGTATTATTTAGTAGAAATTAAAGAATTAGGAAAACACTGGTCTGAAGATATGGAGCTAGAAGGAGACTATGTTGAGAAATAAAACGCTTTTTTTGATGAAAAATATATACTTTCTTCAAAAAGTCACGGACTTTTCAAATTGCACTCGTATTTACTATAATAGGTCAAGACAGCAGTGCAGTCACATGTGGATATCATGTGTAACTCAGCTTCTTATGATAGCTATGATTGCAATACTGATGACCCAAGATTGGAATCATCACCCACGAAAAAAAGTAGAGTATATTTATGAACAAAATGTAAAAGAAACAAGTAAGAGCAGCGCTGTCTTCGAAGGCTTCATACCTTCTATGAACATCTGCAAATTTTAGTTTGACAGATTACTGATTTTGAATACATCTGCATACATCGATAGAGGAGTTACATACTTAAGGCCTGTATGCAGCTCTCAAGAAAAGCAAAAACTCCATATAAAATGACGTACAAGAAATGGCTAAGAAATTTTCTTGAATCAAATTTCCTTAAGGCAGTACGCAGCTCTTAAGAAATTTACTACGTTTTCTACTACGGTTTTCTAAAGTTTTTTGTGAAAAAAGAGCACAAGGCCACCCGGGATTGCAACAGAAATATATGCCCGTTCCATTATTTCCTGAGGAAAGAGTGAGGCAACAGGCTGTGAAGTTTCAAAAATGTCAAAATTCCTTGGACACACACGCGAAATAATGGCAATTTTTTCTTGACCGTTTCCTTGAGAGCTGCATACGGGGCTATATATAAAAAATCGCATCTAAACAATCAGAGGTATGGAAGTTATACTTTATATGGCACCAATCTAAGTGATTTTCACTGCTATGTGATCGGTATGTAAACCGGTAACACAATTTATTGGGTTTAGTTTCCTACATAAAGGAGATATATCGCAAAAACTGGTATCTGAACAATCAGTGCTATAGGAGATAAAGCTTATACAGCATAGATTTTGACGATTTTCTCAGTAGACTTTGTATTATTATTTATAAAATATCTTACGAAATTTATCGGTTTTAGCTGTTCAAATAAAGGAGTTTTACAGTAAAATCCCATATCTGAACAATCAGATGTATGGAAGATATATGTTGTAGTCACCCGATCCTTGTTATTTTCACTGTACGTATTCTGTTAATAATGAGTGAAAATGGTGCGAAATTTCATGTTCCTAGCTGCATAAATGGAGGAGATATGATAAAAGGCCTCATATCTGAACAATCAGTTGTATGGGGGCTGCAGGTTATAGTGACCCGATCTTCGTTATTTTCACTGTAAGTCTTCTGCTGATAATGAGTGAAAACAGCGCGAAATTTCATGGTCCTAGCTAAATAAATGGATGAATTATAACGAAAAATCTCATATCTGAACAATCAGTTGTATGGGAGCTATAGGTTATAGTTATCCGATCTTTTTAATTTTCACTGTAAGTTTTCTGTTGATAATTATTGAAAACAGTGCGGAATTTCCTGTTCCCAGCTATATAAATGGAGGAGTTATAACGGAAAATTTTATATCTGAACAATCAGTTGTATGGGAGCTATAGGTTATAGTGACCCGATCTTTGTAATTTTCACTGTAAGCATTCTGTTGATAATGGGTGCAAGTGCTGCAAAATTTCATGTTCGTAGCTGCATAAATGGAGAAGTTATAACGAAAAATCTCATATCTGAACAATCAGTTGTATGGGAGCTATATGTTATAGTGATCCGATTCTTCCGGTTCCGACAAATGATTAATACATTATAAAAATACACCCACCTACCAAATTTGATCCGGATATCTCCAAAACTGAGAGACTAGATTGCATACAAACAGACAGACAGACGGACAGACGGACAGACGGACAGACGGACATGGATAAATCAACTCAGCTCGACGTTCTGATCATCTCTTTTTGTTCTGGTACTTACAAACATCGGACCAAAGTTATAATACCATTTCATGCTCATGAAAGGTATAAAAATAATGTGTTTTAATTTTCTGTAGACTTTTACCTTATTTGTTTAAAGATTTGGTCTTCCAAATGCAAAATTTTTCACAAAATGTCTACCTTGTCTTATTTTATACACGGAAAGCAGCTGAAAAAATTGTAAGATTACGTCGCATATATATAGAATATTTTTTTTTTTTAGACTGGGATGTCGACAGGGCGTCTTGGGAGCTAAAGGGATAATTTCTCTTAATATTTTCAGG